TATATATATAGGTATATATACATATATTTTTTTAAAATATCGAGATCTGAACGAGATCTGAATAAATAATACTATACATATAGCACATGTAGTTATACACGCACGCGCGCGTGTACAAGTGCGTCTGTATGTGTAATTGTATACATATATAGTATTATTCATGCAGATCTCGATATTTTCAAAACCAATAATATTATCAAAAATATTTATGTGTTTAATAAATGAATTATTATTAAGACATAAATGATATATGAATAAGTTTTATAAATTAACTCTTTGTATCACGAATGTTTGTATCAGACTAATTCTTTTTTAATTTTATACCCAAGATTTTTTGGGTCAGTGATTACAAATTAAACATCAAAATTTTAAAATTTAAAATGGTTGATTTAATATGGTTGACTAATAATTCAAATAATTACCGGTTCCGTCATTTTGGATTCAATTTAGAAATATTTATCCTCAGATTAACAATAAGATTTAGTGATCCAAAAAACCTCTAGAACATCATTATAATTAAATTATTTATTTGGATTTACAGTACAAAATATCGATTTTCTTATTTTTAATAATTATCAATTTATAATTTAAAAAAACAACGTAGCGGAAAAATCTAACAAAATTCTGAAAAATACTTTAGAATATTCAAAATAAATACCTAAATAGCTGTTTTGATATTAATAATAATTTAGCACAAAATGTATTTTCTTTTAAATGGACAAATTTTAACTACTTGTTTAGTTTAGTAATTACGCAAATAAAAATGTATGGTTGTTTACTTTTCTCAAATATTTACTTATGTTCTACGGACTGTACGAAAATAAAAAAATTGGTACTTAATGTCAAGATATTCATCAAAATAATTAAAAACTGAGCGCAAAAAGTGGGACGCTGAGCGTCCCGTCATGACCCAAAGGATTAAGAGAATAATAAAAGTGCAATATCTAGCGAGAACGGAGCCGTACATGCATTGTGTTAAACATACGAGATTTCATAGAAAGGTAATTAGAAAGGTAGATGTATCTTCCTTCTTTGCACACGAACAAAGAACACATGATATTATGAACCTACATTTTTCACGCTTCTATAAAACGTTATATCATTACACTAATAAATCCGATTCTTTTCATTTGAATTAATAATCGAATAGATATAAAAGATGAAAGATATCACTATTACATATATATTGCAAAGATGGTAAAGTTGTCATGTATCATAATAAAATGATCTAAGCTATCCGTAGAGCTTCCAGTCTTTACACTAGCGACGAAAAAATATTCTTGAAAATAAATATTTATTTCCAAGGAAAACGACTGCCAATTTTGTTATTATTATCTTGATGACTTATTTTCATTCTATAGTCTTGATCTATAGGAAGATAATCAAAGAAAATTAGTCTTCTTTATTTACATTCATTTTCTCCTGCCGGCGCTTTATAAATTTTTTACTTTTGCTATTTATTGCTACGATGAACGTCACTTAAAATAATACCATGAGACTATTGAGAAAGAAAAATTTATCGTATATCTAAGTTCAATACATGGAGGGGGAAACGCAGTTTCTCGGCGTTGTTCCTGATACACGCATTTTAGCTTTCGCCGAGGATGGACTTCGTTGGCGAACAGTATTATAAACTGAATAGAATTTTTCTGCTATGTCTCGGTCTGTGGCCTTATCAAACTTCAACTTTGAAAATAATTCAAATAATCTTTTTCCAAACGTTATTGATATCTTTTTTAATATGTCAGGTAGTAAATGGTTTTTTATTTTACAGTATATATATTTATTTCAATAACAATTTATGTCAAATCTGTTACTAAATATTGACAATTGCCTTTAATATAAAATAGATAAGCTTTTATATAAATTAATGTTTACTCATATTTTTCTGTAATTGTTCAAAATAAAGATATTGTTTTTAGTGCAATACATTTTTTGTAAAAAAGTGCAGCATTGATTGTCTCATCAGAGCTTTGTTTTTTATTACTCTTAATTGTATTTTTATCATAGAATATAACGCATGTCTCCTACTCACCAATAATGTAAGTATTTACATATATTCTTTTTTTATACATTTGAAATTATGTTCTCATAATATTTTTATTGTAAAAATATTTTAATTTTTTCCATTTCTTCATTTAAATAGTACCATAACATACTTAATAACTATTCAGTCTATTAAAAAACGATTACTATTTATTACATAAAAGTAATAAATAGTCTAAAAGTAATGGAACATATAATACCAATAATACCAAAAAAAACTAAAATACTTTATTTATGATTGTAGATTAAATATATCTTCGAGAGAATTCGATACGATTGGAATATATTAAAAGCTCAGGCGGAATTAGAAATGATACGGAAATATGCAGGCGATGCAAAATTATATACGATCGGTTTTATGAGTAAGACATAAAATCAAACATCAATCAATTCCTTCTCTGGCATATTATTTTTATATATGAATATATTAATTCGTTTTATGTGCATTATAAATTATATATTCATATTTTTATTCTTATTAAAATATTTCAATTAATATTTTTATACAAAAGTTATATAAAACTTTTTAAAACGATAACCGTTGATGATGATGCAAATACAATTAGATTAATATATCATATAATCTTTGTCTCTCTACCAGTATTTCTTTAATGAAATATAAAAATATTGTTTTTCGTACTACGTAGCATAATTCGTTTGCTTCAGTTTTGATGGTTAGCAGTGTACTGGGATTCTTAATAATAAGTTATGTACCCCTTATACTCGATGTGATCGTACCAATGAATGTTTCTCGACCGCGACAAACAGTAATTGCATTGGAATACTTTGTCGACGAAGAAACATACTTCCTCGCTATTTTAACACATATTGTAATAACTTTATATGTTGGTGCTTCGACAATAGCATCTTTCGCATCAATCCTCATAGCATACGTATTGCACACATGCGCCATGTTTAAAATCGCCAGGTAGAAACAAGAATAATCTTAAATATCACGAGCTTCGTTGATTTATTTAAAAAACTTGCAGTATAAGAACAAGTTTAGTAATATCATCGTATTTTAATAGCCATCGAATAGAACACATATTTGACGAAATGCAACATATGTCAAAGGATATTAAACAATATATACTTTATAATAAATTAATTCATGCTGTATATATTCATCGCAGAGCTATGGAGTTAGTATTAGTGTATATCATTCCTTTGCACTCGAGACCTGTTTTGCCTGGGTAATTTGGCAAAATTATTGTCGCAATGTATTATAAATATTAATTTATGTTTATACAATTTATTTAGAAAACAACTCTTATAAACAAAGTTAAACTGCTATTTTTCTTACAATTTGATACATCTGAAAATCCTCGCAGAATAGGTTGAGTACAAAGGCTTAAATATTATTGCAATGAATTAATAATAAATACACATTTTGCTGTTGAAGTTTGGCCAATATTTTGACGAACAGTTTTGCGACATTGTATTTCGTGTTATTAGGATTTGGTGTTGCTTCGACGAGTTTCAATATCCTTAATGTAAGCGTAAATTATTGCAAAAAGAACACAATATCATTTATTCGAAGAAGGTTAATTATTATTATGATATGCAAAATATAAAACTTCACAAAAAATACATAATTAATAAATAATGTTCGATTCAAGCTTTTTAATGCAATAATATCCCTGGAAAAATTGGATTTATTGATATTTAGTGACCTTATATTTCTACATTTGTATTATATATTTCTGGGAAATTATGTTGGACAAAATATTATAGACAACAGCATTGGCGTATGTCAAGCAACGTAAGTATTAAAAATATTTTCTGAATTTTATAATATTTTAAATACATTTATAATACAATTTTGATAACTTTAATACTTGCTGTAGTATGTGAATTATGTAGTATGAGAATCATTTTCTTATCTCATTAAATATAATTTATAAATTCAAAACTTCATAAGAATAAAAAAAATTATTTTATTACTTAATGACTTTATTTAATAAAATCTATTAATCGATATTAATTGCTGTATATGTACATTTATCTGTATACGTATTAACAGATATAATGCACGATGGTATACTGCGCCAGTATGTATGCAAAAATGGATACTATTCATAATGCAAAGAAGTAGCAGAAAGAGTTCTTTAACAGCGGGAGGTCTATTTGATGCGTCGTTAGAAGGTTTTGCTACAGTAAGGAATTATGAGCAATTTTCTTTGATCTCGTAAAAGAAAGAGATTTTTTAACACTTATTACATACAGCTCATGAGTATGTCTATATCCTACGTTATGGTCCTTCAATCCATTGGAGTACACAAAGAAAGCCACGAAAAGAATAATAATAATCATATTTAAGAATTTAATTCGCAGAGTTAGACCGCATTCAGTACGTACTATTACATATTCTCTGCATATTTACTAATAAAGTAAATTTTGAAATAACAATAAAAATAACAATACATTCATTTCTGCACTTTTTGGAATTATTGCTATTGTGTCATGAACATATTGTGACATATTTGATTATTTTTTTATCATTATTTGTGACATATTTGGTTATTTTTTTATCTTGCTTCTTTATCATTAACAATCGTACATATGCCGATATTAATATAATATTAACTTCTAATTTTAATTGATAAATAAATATATGCTATAAGTAACAATGAGTAAGATACTTTTTTGTGACTCATGTAATTCATTTAAATGTATCAACTATAAAGACATCTTTCTAATGTAACATTTTCTTTTTCGGCGCGGATGTCTAAAATGTCTGATTATGATTTACCTTCTAATATTTTTCTCAATATACAACAATATATGAATAAAATTATATATATACTGAAGCACTTAATACAACACATACAACTTAATGCCATCTTCACGGCTCAGCAGCTTGCGTGAAAATAAAGACTCACCAACGTGAGTCTCAAAACAATGACAATTGCGCGTGCGCGAGCTCTATGTATCAATAAATAATGAAAGCGGCGAACATTTGTTTTCCGTCACGCACTTTACGAGTTTACGTAATTCACCCCCATCATTACATTTCTCTTTCTTACCACGATCTCTTAAATAAAATTTGAGAAAATTATGAGTGTAATAATCAATAACAAATACTGTCGGAAAAATGGAGCTTCTTCGGCATAGCTCCTGACAAATGTAGTGAAACTCTTGAAGCCAAATGAACTTCGACGGTCAGCGTTACTATAGGGTCAATCGGTTCTTTCTAGAAATGATGGGACTATGGCCTTACAATAATTCCATATATATATACATTTACAGAACATTTACGACTTTCGTTCTTGTGTCTTCTTGTATTACTCAGGTAATTTTTTTCACATTGATTTAATATAAGATTAATGCTGCTTTTATATATACATATTATTAAATATATTAAATTATATTTTTACTTAATTGAATATTTTAATATTTATTTTTTAATACTTATATTATTATATCCTTTATATATTCTTATATTTTTCTATGAATTATTTTTATAAATATCAGAAAAAATCTAATTAACTTTAACTAACATTTGTAAAAATGACTTTAATAATAGAATCAGATAAGAATCAGATAGAATCAGAAATGCAATAGTGATTTTATATCTTTCTTTGAATTAAAAAATCATTGTGTATTGTGTGTGTTTTTTTTTGTGTATAATAAAATTTCTTCTGCAGCTCGCCAAATTGCAAAATACAATTCACGATCTTGATCGTTTTCTGTACAATTTGACATACGGTGTCCCTTGCCTCATCTATGTCTTGAAGTTTTTTAGCTACATTATTAAAATTGACAGAGTACGTAATAACAATAAAAACGTATATAAAAATTTAATTCATAATATTCTGTTTAATTATAAAGAATGTTTAATTGAGATTAAAATATAACATTAGCGATTACGTTTTATTATCACTAACATTATTAGATAAAAGAAATGATGGATAGAATTCAGCATGATTGGAATACATTAAATGATGAAAAAGAATGCGAGATTATACGATATTATACCATAATCGGAATGCGATACACAATAATTTTGTTTGGTAAGATGTCAGAAAGCGCCATTCATATTAAATTACAAGCATTTAAACATAACGGAGACTGTTAATTTGTTTTTAATACGAAATAATGTGATGTACTGTTTTAGCTCTAACCTTACCATGTTTATCTTGCTATATTTTGGGTTGGTTTCTGCCAGGCCTTCTGGATTTCGTCCATCCCTTAAACGAATCTCGTTCGAGAAAATTGCCCATTTTAGCGGAATATTTTATTCTTGATGAACAGAAATACTATTATCCTATTCTGGTGCATCAATTATTATTAATCACATTAGGCATACTCATAGTACTTGCAACTGAATCACTAAATATGGTATATGTTCATCATGCTTGTGGATTGTTTGAAGTTGCTAGGTGAGATATAGAATATTGTGAATTTCCGAAAATAACAACGCCTATATTTCGAATATTTTTGCATGTATCAACAAATATATTAATAATCTTGTACATTTTGTTGATTGTACTTTATTACATAATTCTGATATTAATCGTTTAACAATCATTATTATTGTTACAAAGTATAGTACGGACATAGCAAAAGCAAAGCAAGCTATGACATAAATTATAGAAAAAAGGGAATAACATATATAATTTTTTTATATTCAAATATACTTAGATAGTAATTATATGTAATAAATTGATAACGCATCTTCATTTTATTTACTTAAAAATAATGTGGAACCCGTATTTATAGCTATCGTTTGAAACATGTTTTTGATGAGCGAGCTAAAAATGAAAATAATATCATAATTCATGCCAAAATCGTAAAAGTCATAAATATCCACAGAAGAACTGTCGAGTGAGTAAATTGATGATTAAATAAATGCAAAATGTCTTAATTTTTTTACTGGAAAATCTGTTACACATACTTTCAGAGCGAAAAAAAAATAATGCATTTTATTAGTAATATTATTCATAATTAATATTCATGCAATTTTTCACTATTGAAGATTTTTAGATTACCTAATGTCCTCATTTAAAATAGTCTATTTGATTATGCTTATACTTGGAGTGATCGCGATAACTATTAACACGTTCCGTGTGAGTTACTTTATTCAACAAATATTGTAATCTTATACTATAATACATGTTTTATTTTTTCTGTTTATTTGAAAAACTGTTTTCCAATTGTAAAAAAATTATATTTGTTTAACTTTAAAAAATAAAAATACTATATTATACACATTATTTTTTAGTTCATTGAGGCTGTTTTGGCAATGACCGATTTGGAGGAATTAATAGGAGCTGTATCTTTTACTGCAGGCCAATACGGTTTCTTGTTTTTCGTAAATTATTTTGGACAAAAACTAACAGATCGTAGTTTCCTTATATTCGATAAAGCGTAAGTTTTTAGATTTAATTCATAATACGTCATTTGCATATACAAATATATATGTATAATATATGGCATACATTTTAATAAGAATTTTAATAAGAAAGAATGGAGGACATATTCTCTTATGCAATTATGTAGGTACGAAGTACCATGGTATACAGCACCCGTGCACATTCAGAAACTTTTCGCATTTATACTGCAAAGGACAGTAAAGGGTTACGTGATGAATATTGGTAGTGTAATTATGGCGTCGCTGGAAGGTTTCGCATCGGTAATGACACGTTTTTCTTTATAAATTTTCGTTTTCGTTATAAATTTGAATAATTAATTAGAGGACAATGAAAATAATCTCATTATTATGGCACTAATGTCAATAATATAATATCCAAAATTGATATAAAACCGATTAAAGTACTTTATTTATATTAGATTTTAATATTATGTTATAATTAATTTTTTAGATGGCGAGTTTGACGCTGTCTTATCTTACCATGATATACTCCGTGCGTTAAAATCAAAACAGACAGCAAATCTGATTCTAGTAATAATCGATACAATGAAACTGCATTTTTGTAAACTGGTATTAGCAATTATGAGACAATTCACTAATGTAGAAATTAAAAGTATAATGTAGAACTAATAATAAACTAATAAAGAATAGAATAAAATACGTACCACAAATACGTTTACCACAAATGTTACGTTCACATAAATAACGTATTAAAATAATGTTTATACTTTTA